CGGGACAATGTGTTATTGAATGAGTGAGAATATTGTTGAGCACCTGAGACGTTGTTGGTGAATTATAGCGTTTGTTATAGCGCGACTGTTGAAATTAAGTGTATCGGAAAGTTGTATTCAGAAAAAATAAACCAGTTTTATTTAAGAAAGGACTTGTGTCGCTAAAGTTTCGTCGGAACAAATTTTACGGAAATTTAACTAACGAACGGAGACGTAACACTATTAATACTCTGTGCGTTTTATAGGATTCAGGTTTAGAGTCACTATTACTACTCAGTACGCTTTAATGGATTCAGATACATGTGACTATTAATGCTAGGTAAATAGTAAGGAATTCATATTCAGGTTTAGAGTAACTATTAAAGATCGGTACATTCTAAGGGATTCAGATGCAGGTATAGAGTCACTATTAACGCTTGGTACATTTTAATGGATTCTGGTTTAGAACTCGCTATTAACATTCATTACGCCGTAAAACTACTTACAAGTACATAAAAAGTTTGAATTTACTTCCTAGCCGAGCAGTATTTTTCATGCACGTATTTTCCCCTTTTAGGATGTGAATACGGGACTGGTGTCTTTATTTCAGAGGTCGATTCAGGATCTGAAGGGGAACGTAAAGGACTGCGGGTAAATGATTTTATTTTTCTAAACGTCAGTGAATTTGTTACTTTCTTTGTTTCATGTTTCTGAATGATTAAGGATAATTCTACAAATAAAATGCACCTCGATTAACAGTTCGCTAGGACAACTTGGTAATCCTTTTGTTTCTCTTAGGGGTCTTGTGAATGTCCCTTTGTACTCTTCATCAGTTTCAGTGGCACGAGCTAACACGTAGGTTCAGAGTTTTCATTTTTAATGCAAAAGAAAGCGACTTTCACAAACTACACCCATGCTACACACAACAAAACAGAACGAATTGAGGATGAATTTACTTGAGCAGGGGTCCAAGGTTGGGATAAACCGGCTCTTAAGTTGTTGTCCACATACTTCCGAATGACTTCCTTATTTTATCTGTTGCTACACACCATATATGGTTTGTTTAGAACAACTACATTTACGGTGCTGACCTGAATTGACCTCACAGCACTCTTCGAGGCCCGAAGTTAATACGTCTTATATCCCAATAAACAAATAAAAACAATCACTGTATATGTTGTGGTCATCAGGAAAAACCCTTACCGGAGCTCCATCTGGTAGACTTAAAATACAATAAACAAAATAGCTTCTCCCCTCCAGTGCCTCAGCAGTAAATTTGAGAGCTTAAAATGTCAAAAACCAGGTTTCAATACCCGTGGTGAGTATAGCCTATTTATTGTGTATCTTTGTGCTTAATACCAAAAAAAGTAATAAAACAGAGCATTTATTTAAATAGAAATATCTCACTCGCTTATAAGAAGAAAACAATACATACTTTAAATCCATTTTAAATATCTGTGTATCCAGATGTGCTGATCATAGCAGTAGTGGGAATTTACATATTATCTTTCAATTGTTACATTTACACAGACATTTTTTTTTTATACAAGATAGATTAAATTTCCTAACGAGAGGAGATCGGGACGTCATCTATAATTGAACACAGCTCATGATTCTGTAATCTTTGTCTAAAACGACGATAATCAATGATATTACAACTATACAAGATTCCACTTTATGTACTGATGTCACTCAAAATATAGGTGAAATGCTGATTAGGAAGCGATAAAGACGACAACTCGACTGAACGTGCTAATCACGAGCTGTGATATCTATCTTGTTAAAGTTACTGTGTTTTTAACCTCCTCTCATTCTTTCTTTTTTTCTTGAATAGATTGTACATGGTTAAATAGTTTAAATAGATTGTACATGGTTAAATAGTTTAAATGGATTGTACATAGTTAAATAGTTTAAATAGATTGTACATGGTTAAATAGTTTAAATGGATTGTACATAGTTAAATAGTTTAAATATATTGTACATAGTTAAATAGTTTAAATATATTGTACATAGTTAAATAGTTTAAATAGATTGTACATAGTTAAATAGTTTAAATATATTGTACATAGTTAAATAGTTTAAATATATTGTACATAGTTAAATAGTTTAAATAGATTGTACATGGTTAAATAGTTTAAATAGATTGTACATAGTTAAATAGTTTAAATAGATTGTACATGGTTAAATAGTTTAAATAGATTGTACATGGTTAA